CAGAAATTCAAACTAGTCTGACACAAACATAAATCAGAAATCATGGGTTATTGCCTCTTTTTCATGCTATTTTCAGTGTTGACGACCACTAGAGCCTTCCTACTGATTAATTTCATTCTTTGAAGCTCAGTTTGCTAGTTAAATCATTAATCCTTTCAGGGTTGGAAAACTACCTGAAGCATAACTTCGGATCTTGCTCCCTTTGCATGACAGCAGAGACTTGAAAGGTCTCAAGCAAAACCTGGAGATTATAGATTTAGATAAAATCTAACTATAGTAAAGAGAACACTAGGAGTGGAGCATGGGATGCAGGACTGAGATGTGAGGCAGAAATTTGAAGGGATGGGACTAAAATCTGATCTTCATGGATTGTTAAGAATAATCTCTAGCAGGTTAGTCTACCCAGTATAAGTCAAATCATCTCTTTGAATCCCTGACAATCTCCGAGTTTCTGTTCATGACTTCTTTGCCATCAAGAAAGGTGTAAAACGTTAACTGAGAGACACCTTTGCTTTCATCTACCTGAGCTCTTCTGAGCACTGATTGTACCTAATGTGTTAAATTTCTTCCCATGTTGTAGCTGCCTTTTCATTGTGCACAACCTTCAGAAACACACAATAACCTGGCACTTCGAGTAGTTTTTTCTTTGTTTCTCCTCCCTGGAAATTGTACTTTCGCTTTCAAAAAGTGAAATCAAGAGCTATTCATTTACAAGCGATAGTAAAACTTTATGAAGTCCCACCTGCTGACTGGGTGCTATTGGGATGGGCAGACCAGACTTCACAGAGGGGAAGCACATTCCTCAGCAGTCCCTTGTCAACAGCCAAGTCGTGGTGTCCTCCTACGAGCTACCTACGGGGAGAAATAACAACTCCTCATCAGAAATGTGTCCTTCTAGATCAGACCATAACACTATCAAAAAACTCACTTGTACTCCCCAAACAGAAGTTAAAAAAAAAAGAAAAAAAACAAGTAAAACTTGGCAGCTGTCTTGTAAGTGTCACGGTTGGTATCTGAGCAGCAACCTCAGATGTAAAGAATTTGAAACTGTATTATTAATGATGTGAGTTGCTTTTATTCTTAAAATCTTGCTGAGGCCTTCAGGCTTGTAGGTTCAGTTAGCTGTTAAATGCAAAAGCTGCTGAATACAGTAGCTAGTAACTACAAGTAAGAAGGGGTTAAAAAGGAAGAAGAGAAAAAACAGCTTCATACAAAGGTGTATTAAAGTGAACCGAAAACTGAATTTCCTACTTTTGACTATTTTGCATTAGTTTTACTACACCTTTGCATAACTTGATTCCGGTCAGCAACAAAACTGGAAATATATGGAAATGGCCATGCTTGCTTGTTTATCTAAATTTCTCTAATTTGGTTCTGTGGCCATTGGGACTCATATTTTTCAGCAAATGGAGTGAGGTCTGTTGCAGCCAGCCCACACACTGGTGCTTCTCCTTGATGAGCAAGGTGGGGAGGTTGTATGTGCCCTTTTCTTCTATGTGGCACAGCCAGATTCCTCCCGTATCTGGTCAAGAACACTTACCTATGTAATTTCTCATATATTATTATGTTTTGATGCATTATCCTAATATTTGATGAGCAAGTACCAACTATAAGCTATGCATACTGCAGTTGATAATATAGTTTCTTGCATAATAAATCTTTTATAAGTGGCCTTACAAAGAATATAAATGCTAAATAGAAAGATAAAAAAGACATTTATAATTATATACATATGTGTGCACATACACTTGCAAATAAGAATTTTTAACATGACTTAAAACCACGCATATGCAATCATTTCACTTTGTTTTCAACAGGGTTCTGTCACTTGTTTGTGTTTTGACACCCATGGGGGAACACCTCTGTTTTGCCTTTGTAATGTTTTGTTTTTCTTTCTATTGCTTGGCTTTGCTGATGAGAGAATGTAGATTATTTTTTAAATAACTGCAATTTTCCAGATGGCATATTGGTGTACCGCAGATCTGAATTTCAAGAGCCACTACAGTGTTGGGTGAACCATATTTATTAGCTATTAATGGTGAAACTATTACAAACATCAGAGACTGCACAAGAAAACCTTAAGAAGTGCTTTAATGTTGAGTCTCTAGGCTAAACTCCTGACTGCAATCTCAGCAAATTCCTTCTGTGTTTGTGGAAATTAGTTTCATAACATTTTCCTTATTTTCTTTGGACACTCTTCCTGAATTTTAAGTTATTCTTCTAACTCAAATATGTTTATTTTATGTTTGCTTCTTTCTCTCTGATATCCAGATTCCATCTTTCCACTGTGATCATCAGTTTTTTTGCTTTTCCTGATGCTGTTTTAGATGAACAGCAAATGCTCATCTGAGGAATCCAGTAGCCAAATTTGGCTGGACTGGTATAAATAAATAGGCAGACATTACTTTCCAGCTGTCTCCCGTTGCTGTCCACACACACTGATAAAACTGTTGTCTAGAGCTTTAAAGACTAAAAGAAAACAACAAGGCAAAACAAAAGTGGTAGAAAGATACGCTATAAACCTCAAGAAAATTAGCATGTGACAAATTGCATCTTTCCGTTAGAAAGAATTAGCTTCCAACCACTGAAGTACAATGCGAAACCTATTTATCAAGTTAAATTGTTCTCTTGTTGCAAAGCACAAACTTAATTACAGAGATCATTTACTTATGGATGACATTTGCTTAAGCAATACTTCTAATACTGTATGCCTAACCATGATTTAATTTCAATTTCTTTTTTTTTTTTAACCCATGCTTTTAGAAAACAGGCAAACATAATGCTGGAAACTGTCTCCTGGATGACCAAAATGCAGTCCTTTACTTACACAGGGAAATGTGCCTGTAGCATTTTCCATGAACCTAACAATCCTCACCATTAAACAGCTTGAACTGTTATTTTTTTTGTCCCTGCTATTTGTATTAAAAAACTACTCTAGAACCTCATCACTTTTATGGTCAGAAACCTTCTAATTTCCAGCCTAAATTTATTCATGGCCAAATTACACCCATTTGTTCTCGTGCCAACATTGTCTGCTAGAGTAAATAGTTCTTTTCCTTGCCTACTGTTTACCACTCTATTGTGTTTTTAGAGAATAATTATTTCCTGTATCAGCTTTTGTTTCTGCTAGACTAAACAAGAAAAAAATCTGCAGCCTTGCTCTTAAAATGAATCTCTCTGTTAATCTCAGCAGCCCTTTTCTTTACCTATTTCACCTTCCATGAATATGAGCAAAAAAATCTGTGGGAGATCTCTCAGGTGCCTTAAGCAATAGCACAGATATTTTCATTTTCTCTGCTAAGAAACAGTTTAACTGTTTAACTGCCTTTGGATAGCACTTGCTTTTTCATGGCTGGAACCCACTGGCAACTTAATAATGTTGCAGTCAGCTAATATGCATACCTTGACCCAGCTCCTATGTTGTTTACAACTGATAGAAGATATTTTTATTAATCCTCAAGTGCATGTCTCTACTGCCAACGCTACACATTTAAAAATGAGTTTAGCAGTGTGTATTTTAATGTGCTTTTTCCAAAGGTAACAAATGTTTTGGATAAGTTAATGCCAAAGATAATAGAATCAAACAAAAAGGAATAATGTTGAGAGACAAAGGGAAGTACTCAGCACACCGATAGCACCAGCTGCGATGTATTAAGGAATAAGAAATTTTCACAAGTGCTTCAGTGTAACATAATAGCATGTAATGGTTTGAGTGCTGTATGGTGTGTACAGCACCTCGAGAACTTCTTATTTGGTCTTATGTACTGATAGCTCCCCTAAATATTGCATTTAAGTTGGGGAAAATGTTTCTTGGATGCATTAGAGCAGGAGCTCCCAAAAGCACCTGTGGAATCTTTCAAGGTGGCCTGACAGGAGCACGGGGAACATGTAACTCATCACCTCCTCCCCAGAGAAGCTGGGGAAAAGGCCTCTGGATTGCACATGTTGTCCAAGCAATTGAATGTCTTTTCTGGTGTGTACCTAAAGCTCGGCCCACAGCTGGCAGCTACTGCTTCCACCACAGTAATAGAAAAGAAATTGATGGTGGCATCAAAAGCAAATTAATTTGGAGAATCTCTGTAGTCGTAATATCACTCACAAGCCATTTCTTAGAAATCACGCCATTACAGATCTGTCTTTTAACTTGGTTTTGCTTATTTTTTGAAGTTAGCATAACAATCAATGACTTGAGACTTTATAGAGTCTGTATCTTTGATGTAGAAGTGCAATATTCTCTTTACATGAGTGTTTCAAAATAATGAGGACTGTTACATCAATACTTCTGGAGTTGTTCACAGTAAAAAAACTTTGATACTACCTGGTGGTAAAGGTTCCATCTTAAGGGCCATACACTTTGGAATGAAGAATATAAATGCATCTATTAGGTTGCAAAAGACATTGAGATTTTCAGAAGCATCTTAAAGATTTTGGACTGCAAGTTCCAATAGCTAGGAATTTGGAAACTTTGAATCCTTTAAGAAAGGATTTAAATTTCCTTATTTTGTCAGGGAAGCCAGCAATTTATAAACCACCTTAAGCTGTATAATTATAGAGAGCAGACTAATTATAGTAAGTATTCTCACACTTACTAGCAAGACCTTCACCATTTATTAGAAAGATGAACTAGGTTTTTGAGGGATTTTTTTAGAGGGAGAAACATTATTCTTTTCAAAATCATGTGATAGATTTTATTTTAATTATTTTATTCTGCATAAGTGCTGGAATAAGAAAAAATATTCAAGAAAGTTATCTGTTAGGACATGCAGCTTTATAGAATTCTTGAAAAATCATTTTATCATGTGATGGGAATGTGATGGGAATCTACTTATTGGGAGGGGAATCGGTATCTATTCAGGATTATTTTATTAAGTTATTAAAAGGTAGTTTCATTTAACATGCCCTCCTTGACTGTTGCTATATAATACTTTCTTTGATGTTGAAGTGGTTACTAACTTCTTGCCACATTATTAGTAATATTTAATGTGTTGTATTCTGTTTAGGGGATCCCTGTGGAGCTGATAGCTGTGGACTACTGACTGGCACACTAAACAGGTAAGCTCTAAACGTCTTTCAATGGTAACATAATGACTTTCATCAAAGGAGGAAGAAGTCTTGATATTTTTTAATTTTCTTAAGCTGAGCTTGGAAGGCTTTGATTTTATAAATCCCAAGATCTGCGACTTAAGTAAACTTAGCATATGCAAATAGTGGCTTCAAAAACTAAATGAAATTATATTTGTCAGAAGTTTATTTCTCTTGACCCATAACTCACTATCTTTTTAGAAACAGCTGAGACAAGTTCAGACATTAGAAACTTGCAGGCCTCTGCTGCAGTGGGATGCAACCAAATGATCATTCTGACTTGACAAGATTAATTTTAAAGCAGTTCTTTCCCCTAACTCGCCTCTTTCTCTTTTGCTAGTTGTAGTTAGTATAAGTATTTGTCAAACTGGGACAAAGCTTTGCCATTAGTCCCTTTTCTTTAGACAATGACAGACTGATTATGTTGCTAAAGGAAAGGGATTTGCAAAGTACCTTACCAAAGGAAATGTCACAGAAAGTAAAACATGTAGTGGATGATAATGCTATCCCACCGATTTTCATCTGGTAGACGTGTTAGGCTAATTAAGAAAGAACTAACTACATATGACAGATAGCAGACACATTGCTTAATATACTGCTGGAGGATACATAGAACCACAGAAGTGATGAAAGCATTGCAAGAACGTATATAGAAGAGAAATAAAATACAGTTGCTGCATGCAAGTATAGTGCATTTTGCAGGTAAACATGGTGTGCCTGTTTGAAAAGATGTTAATTTACACAGTATAATTTCGCCATTAATATAGATTCTATATAGAAACTCTTTGTTGCTACTTAAAATAGCTTGAGGGGGTGGCCAGAGAAGAGCAGGGAATCACCCCTCAACAGTTATTTATATGGAAATGTTTGCATTATTCTCTTGATATAAGGTAATAATTTTTCCTTTTGTGACATACCTTCTGGTGCCATTTTAAAATGAAAACCAATATAATTTTTCCAAGCTAAGAAAATTTATGTTTCTACAAGAATCATTAAGTTAATATAAAATACTGTTTGGCATCTACATGAAGAAGCATTCAGAAAATATTTTCTATGCAAAATGGAAAGAGAGTTGTTTTTTTTTTTTTTTTCTCAGTTATTTTGTCTCCTTTTCTTGTTTTGGGTTTCTTTTGATTAGATTTTTTGGAGCTCTGACTCAGGGTGATATAGGTCCATTGTTTCCTACAAGAAGACTTATTAGTATGGAGACATAGAGAAAAAGTTGTGTTTAGGCATACAAATTTTTGGTCATCTTCTGCATATTTTTATACTGTTTCCATTTCTTTATGCACTCAAGGCACATAAATCTGTTAGACCACCTAATTAGATACCTCAGTATCATGACATCGGTGAGATTACTCTGTTTTACGAGAAGAGGGCTAAGGTTTATGTACAGCAGAAAGATACGACAAGTTTCAATTTCACATTATAAGGAGCTCCATATTGATTCAAGAGCAAAAGTGGAAAAAATTGATTAATGCCTACAAGTATCTCAAGGGCGGGCTGAGGGAGGAGGGAACCAGACTCTTTTCAGTAGTTGCCAGTGAGAGGACAAGGGGCAATGGGCACAAGTTGGAACATAAAGGGTTCCACTTGAATATGAGGAAGAACTTTTTCACGGTGAGGGTGACGGAGCCCTGGAACAGGCTGCCCAGGGAGGGTGTGGAGTCCCCTTCTTTGGAGATTTTCAAGACCCTCCTGGATGCAGTCCTGAGTAACGTGCTCTGACAAGCTCTGGGTGGTCCTGCTTTAGCAGGGGAGTTGGACTAGATGATCTCTATGGTCCCTTCCGACTCTAAAAATTCAGTGAAATTCAGTGAAAAAAAAATCCACTCTGGGAATTAGGGGCTGTGCATCATCAGGGATGCTGCTGTGCTACACAGGCTAACGCAGGCACGTGGCAACCAGTGGGACAGCCCCCCTGCACCTTGCCCCAGCTTCTGCTTCCCCTTCGGTCTGAGATGGGAGTGGTTTAAAATTATAAGGCTTTTGGCAATTTGTTCTCGCTTCAAAGTAGTTTAATGCTTAGCACAACTCTAGAGCTGGTGAGGATTTTCCTGTCTTTCAGGTAACTCCTTGAAATCAGGTGTTCCAGGGCATATCTTGACTTGTGGAGACGACTGGAGTGTTGCACGCCATTAGTTGTTGACTTGCTGAAGACAAGGCAGTGTGTGTATTGTGCACGGACCATGGACGTGACCATTGAAATGACACAGCAGATCACAAATATGCTCCCACGTCCACTACCGACACGTTTCCTGCTTTTTTGCATGCAGAACTCCAAGAGGCAGGGCTGGTTTAGGAGGCTGTTCAGGATCTTAACAGAGCAAGTAGTCCCAGGTGGAGCAGGGAAGTGAAGGAAGCTCTACCAACTGTGAGCCAAAGAGCAGTAATGCAGGAGCTGTGGGGAAATGCTGCAGCTCATGAAGGTTTATAATACCATAGGTCATTGTAATTACTGAAGAAACAGGAAATAAAGAAGCAATTCCTCCCTTGCAAGCACTTTATATAAGCACACAAGACATCAGCAAAATGGTGGAGTTGGAAGGGAGATAAGGATGTTCCCGCTCCGCACTCAAGCTGGATGTGGGTTACTCCCTTTCAGGTGTGTGGTCTAAGCTTCAGGTGATGGGAGTGGCTCCATCTTTTTTTTTGAAGTTTTACTTTTTCTTCTTTTTTCATCTTCCTCCTGGTGTATCTCTCTGCTTTCTCATGAAGGGTGTCACTAGGAAAGCAACCACCAGCTGGCTCAGCAGGGCTGTTTTCATTTTGCTACCACAGAACACACTTACCCTGGCTCACCATGCTTGCTTTCATGTTATGTTTTCCCTGCTCTCTGAGCTCCAGCTGAACTGTCTGTTCACCTTAAAAACAATACCCAAAACAAGAGAGAAGAAAAAACTTACCCTTACCAATCACTTGCAAGTCCACCTCCAAATTGGAAGTCGCTGCCTCTTTCTTTCAATCCTGCCACTCTGTTTTCAGCTTTGTTGAGTCTCTGCAAGCTGTGTGTCACTTCCAGAGTCCAGGAAAGTGGATTGCTATAAATAAGAATAGACTCGTAGAGGCTTTCAGTGTGAGTATCCAGGTTGAAAGTCCTTTAAATGAATTTAATCAGTTTAATTTAGAAAAAAAGAATCTTCACACCATTCTGCCTTTAGTAGCAGCACAAAACCCCCCAGGTGCTCAAACAAAAGGAAAACAGCAAAACCACTTATTACTTAAAAGCATAAAATGTTAACAGAAAGGGTACTTTTTAAGTAGTATGTGTGAGTATTAAACACACAAAAGTTGAATACACATTCCCTTAAAATCATCTAGTAAGGAATTAAAACATCCATTTGCATTTTACTCTTGCATGTAGGTTTATTAAGATAATATATGTATCTTTTTGTGTGCTGAGCCATTGCTTTGCCTCTGCCTCAGCCTGTCCAAGGTGTATGAATATTGACTGTTTAATGTACACCCCGTGGTGTATTATTGCTTACTTAAAGCATAATACTGCATGACCTTGTTTTTTCTGTTAATTATATTTTTCCCTTGTAGGAAAGTAAGTTTACTCATTCTGAATCGTGCCAAACCGCATAATCTGGAAAGGAATATTGTGGCTCTACTTGGAAAGTACTAATTGGGCTTCAGCCATCACTGGGAAAGCTGTATAGTCTTTTATTATTTTAACTGGCCAAATGCCCTTTGTTACCACATTAACAGCCTCCCTATGGTGCCTGTAACTTCGATATTATTTTCACTTTTACGCTAAATTTGACCAGATGAAAGACACAAACCCTCCAATTTTGAAATAAAAGAATACCATGTTTTGTTAATCCTGTATTTCAGAGGGAAAGCCTGTGAAAATGATAACCTATGTCTGCTGGCCAAAGTTTTTGTTCAGTAAACCAACCTTGCCAGCTGTTCCCATTGGCAAGAGGAAAGATAATATTTTGGTATCTTTAATTTCTCCATTTTAGAGCAGAAGTTTTGCTTGTGTCATCATTTAAATCATGCATGTTAACATCAGCCTGGCAAACAATACTGTGCTTTATAAAGACCTCAGTTTGGATGGTATCACTGCAATGTTGCAATAAAGCTGTTTTAGGCTATTAAATACAGCTTAAGTCTCTCACTGACTACGAATCACTGCAGGTGCTCTGGGCTGTGCTGCTGAAGAAGTGCTTTGAAAGTCCTAAAAAAGAGACTAAAGCAGATATGTAGGTGCATTTTAGTCCAATGTTACTGAGAGCTAAAGATGCAAATTACCTCAAAAGACTGTGCTCTCATGTGCCTGTGGTCCTCATCTCACGAGGCAGAGTGGACAAGGATCAAGAAATGGCAACACAAGTCCTGCTCTTAGCAAATGAGGAGAGATGGCCTCTGGCAGGAGACAGGGAGACATTGGCATGTCTAAGAGACAAAAAGCTGTCACCTAAAGCTCTAGGCTTAGCCAGACACATTTCCTGCACTGAGAATATCTGATTCAAAATGTGCAGAGGGAATGTTCTTTCTCCACCTTGATCTCTGACAGCAAGGTTTAATTTCTGCTGAAACAGAAAAGGTGTTTTCGTCATGTTTAAGAACATTTAAAGAAAGTCTTTCTCAATTTCCAGGTAACCTGAAGCTTGAGTGGTTCCAGGCGTATTGGATCCCACACCCTGGCAGAGGATTATTTCTGCGTATGTTCCGGGACAGCTCAACGCTGAAGCCTTACAAGGAAAAAAAATCCAAACATCTTGATTCTGCAACAATTAGTTTGGATCCCTTGAAGGTTTCAAGGATTTCTTAAAGTCCCTAAGGGGCAAGACAAGCAAACTGATCAGGATAAAGCTAGGTTTCAAGTCCTTGCTTGCCTAGACGTAAAGCCTCTTTCACTAAAATGGAGCATGGGGGAAGACAAGGAAGTCTTTTAAAACAAGAATTTCATTCATTTGTGCGTTACTGGAATGATACTACTGTCTTAAATGCTCTGAGGATGATGGTACTTGTGACCTTCCCAGTAAGTTTTGTCAGGGGGACTGTATAACCTTGCACTGCCCCAAAACAGAACCGAGCCCTTCCATCCATTAAAGCTGTATTCAACTCAGTGAACACTGTAACGGCTCCTTTATAACCCTCTACTTGTACTTGATAGTGGAGGGCACATTTCAAGGAAAATGGGGAAAGTTCCTATGTTTTGCCTACTTACTGCTGTTGTAACAGCTTGATGTAAAACTGGATAACAAAATAGATGGCCCAGCCCAACAACCCCACTAATGATACTGTAATTATACCAGGGATGCAAGTTTGGTTTTCAATACATTTCTCCTGGCATCTCCAATATGTGAATTTAGAAAAAAAAAGTATTTTTTCAAGTTTTAATTTCCTCCAGAAGCATAAAATAATTCACTGCCTTTTTCTCTCCTTCAGGTTAGCTCTCATCGCTGCAGACACAGCTACAAGTACACAACTTCTGGCTGAAGTTTTGTTGCCTGCTGAACCCCAGTTAGCTCTCATCGCTGCACACACAGCTACAAGTACACAACTTTTGGCTGAAGTCTTGTTGCCTGCTGAACCCCCAGAGCCTTTCAGGTTACATTTCAGGTAAGATAAATCCATTAATCAAGTACAAAGCACTAGGGAAATATATTTTAAAATGACAAATACATTTTGGTAGCACTCTCACAAGCTACTTCCCTGAATTTGGCTTATTTTTTTTTGCAGTTAGCACACCTCATGCCACAGCCTGCCCAGTTCCCGTATGTCTCTAGGTCATTATTAATGCGTGCTGCAGTTTCACAAAGGAGTTCTGGATAGTTTTTCTCCCAGAGAATTTGGTCAGAGGGAAACTGTAAACCCTGGCCTCTCTGAAAGGCCAGCATTCCTAAGCTCCAGCTCCAAAATGTTGCAGCGGGTGACCGAGCACCCCATCCAACCTCATCCCACGCAGCACGGCAGCTGGTGGGGCATCACCAGGTGATGCACAACCCTCTGCCCTGTGGATTACATTACTGGCACTCGCCAGCTGCTACTTGTGTTGGAAGAACTTGAACGCCTTCCTCTCATCTTAAAAAAGAGACAAATATTGTGAATCGTAACAATGACACCTATAAGCAAGGTTAATGCATTCAAAGAAACATATTCTGCTTTTAAACTTTGTTTAGAACAACTTGAAAAACATAGACAATCACATCATCTTAAATTAAAGGAAAAATAATTGGGCAAAAAAACATCCACAGTATTTCAAACAGGCCAGGGGAGCCACCTGACCTGTCATTTGAGTCCCGTATCAAACAGCTACATTAACAGTCACCGTAATGAAATTAGACTAATTATGCATACATGAGCAATAAAAAACCTAAACAAACAAGAAATCCACTATGGCAGTGATCAAGTTTAAGAAAAAGAAAGTGGAAGCTTGTAAAAGATGTATCAAAAGTGACAGCCCCCAGGGGAAGATAATTCCCAGAAGCTTGAAGTCTCAACTGTAAAAAAAGCTGCCATGGTTAAACAGAGGAAGTTTATTAAAAAAGATTACACCCTTCAGGAAGTTGAAGGTTAAAATGGGACATAAAATACAAACACATGATATGCCCCAAAAGACACTGATGGCCATCAAAAACTTGCAGTTAATCCTTTTCTGTAGCAAGCAGGACATCTGTTGAAGAGTTAGCAGGAGGAGTAGATTGCTAAGATATAAAAGGAGCACGCAGGAGAGATAAAGCCATGGCACTGAACTGCAAGAATTCTCTGCGTCCCTGTTTGCTATAAACTCAACTGTTGCTATAAACTTCCAAACCCTTGTTGGAAGCCTTCTTTATGTAGCGCTGTCCTGGTTTCAGCTGGGATAGAGTTAATTTTCTTTCTAGTGGATGTTGTCTTTCAGGTTTGGTATGAAAGGAGTGTCAATAAAGCATATTGGTTTAGTTGTTGCCAAGTGATATTTATAGCATTCAAAGACTTTTTCAACTTCCCATAAAAGCTGAGAGGGAGCACAGAGAGGACAAGCTGACCAAAGGAATATTCCATACCATAGACATCATGCTCAGTATATAGAAAAGGGTTTGCCCGGGGGGCAGGGATCCCCAATCACTGCTTGGGAAGGGCTGGGCAACCAATTCATCAGGTGGTGAAAGTGACTTGTGTTGTGTTATTTTATCTTATATATTCTTTTCTTATCCTTATCCTATTTTTATTTTCATTTTCTGCTATTGTTCTATTAAACAGCCTTTATCTCAACCCATGCGCTTTTTTTTCCCCTTTTCCCTCTTTTTCTCCCTCTTTTCCCTACCCTATTTGGGGATGGGGAAGGAGAGAATTGAGTGAGCAGCTGCTTGGTCCTAGCTGCTGGCTGGGATTAAACCACGACAAGCACAAACTGGGGACATCAGTGAAAATAATATACCAGTAGGTTTCTAAGAAATAGAGAAATTAAGCAGTAACAATTTCAAAGAACAAACAAACTAGGATTAGTGTGCATGGAAAAATGAAGATAAAGAGAGCTCTCTAAAATCATGAGTAGCAAAGACAGGTGAAATAGGGAATGGAAGTTTTGGTATCATGGAAGGCAGTGAACAAGGATGCATCAAATCATTTACTTGGTTCAAAACAAATAAACCAGAAGTATTTACTCATATAGCATATTGGTAACTTTGAATTTCCTGGCCACAAAATGCTGTGGTTTTCAGAATTTGACATGAGTCAAAGATCTGTTGGAAAAACTCATCCATCGGGACCTATTAAACAGAAAGACTCTACCTCTGACTTTGGAAGTCATATCACTAGAAGCTGGGAATGTAAGGCAGGTAGCTATTCCTACATGCTTGCCATTTTATAATAATCTTTAGTAAACATCCTCTGTTTTTCACCACTTTTCATCACTTTTGGAGCCAGGATACTGAGCTAGATGGATCTTTTTTACCCTGAGCTGGGACAGCCCTTCTTACACCCTGCTTTTAAGTAGCTCCTGCAGTGGAGAACCTTCTGTGGATTCATTTAAGTCAACCTGAACAACAAGAGTCAGGTAAAGGACTCCAAACAGAATAAAGACTGAAAATACTGGAAAGAGGTAACTAAGAGAGCAGGATCAGCAAATAATGTAAAGAAAAGATAAAGCAGAATTAAACTTGCATGTAGTCTTTAACTCTTAAAGAGTGGCACCACACATGAGATGACAGAAAATAATTCTTCATCCTTGTAAAAGAAAAACATACTCTCTTCCTCCCAGCAGGTGAAATGACAAGAAAATTGCAATGTGTCCTTAAACTGAAAGAAGCTTAATTCTCAGATCAAATCTATATCAACACAATTTAAAAAAAAAAAAAAGAAAAAAAAGAAAGAGAAAGAGAGCTCTGCAAGTGGATGAATAAGTATGCATAGAAAATGAAGAATATATTAATACACAGAAGTGCAAAAATTATAGAAACTAAACATTATCTATTTTTATTTAAACTAACTGAAGTAATTCCATAGCTGCATAACTCATCTAAAAATGGTCTTGGTCATGTCAGTTCTCTGTCATGAAAAATGATTGCATCTAAAATGTTCCTTCATGTTCGTTCTATAAGTGAAATCTTCACATAATATGAATTGCTCAGGGTTCTCTCACTTCTACAGAGCTGTGACAAGTCACAGCAGCTGAGGACCTGCCCAGCGTGTACCATGTTGGATGACACAGCAAAGTCCATGTTGGAGGACACAGCAAAGTCGTAAATCCAGCCTTGACATAATCAGAATTTTCAATGAGCTCATTGCACATGAGACTGTTAATTGGCAATTTACTGAGATTCTCATGCACCAACCTCTACCAGCAGAAGGGGAGAAGAACAGAGAAGCAATGGCGCAGAGCCTGCAGATTCCCTTTCCTGCAGCCCTTTGCTCAAAGGGGGTCCTCCTAAGACCCACACAACAAAGCAATAAAGTAAGCCCGTGCAGCTCTGGGACCTGTAGCTTTCATACCCATGGCTAGTAGGACTAGCCATGAGTCCTTCAGTCCCCACTGTCTTGGGGCTGAAGTAACCCAAAGCCTCTCTGAACCTAGGCTAGGAAGGGAGGAGTTTCTCCCACTACCAGCACCTATGAATGAACATCGTAAAGCCCAGTTGTCAGCCTCTTCCTTAGTGAAATGCTGGAAGATTTATTCACAGTTAAATCCAGATGTTTTCTAAATTGACCATCATCATAAAATTATCTCAGCCAACAGCAAAGATAGGCTGAGCTGCTGTCCAGTGACTTTCCCTCTCAACTACCTTCAGAGGTTCTTCCACCTGACACATTGCTCCAGTGACAGGATCTTCTCATGAGATTCATCATTTGCTTTGAAGTAACCAGACCTCAGGCCCATCGCAATTTTAGAGGCCTCTAAGAAATTTATCCTCTAATTATCATTCGCAGTTTCTCTAAGGATTTGCAACTTCTGTATGAATTCCTTGGCCAAATGCAGTAATCTTGTTAATCTCAACCCCCATATTTCTGTTTCTTTCAACTCCTGCTAGCAAAAATTCTTGCAGTGCTTTCCCAAGAAGGACAGAAACCTTCTGTTCCCTTTTTCCCATACGCTTCAGAAAATATCCCTGATATTTTCTTTTACAATGTTCTGTAATGCTTCTTTTACATTTCTTCCCAGTGAAACCCCTGAGACTTAAATAACTCACCTCCTGTTTTCCACCTAAATTTTCCTTCATTCTAATTTCTAGGTTAAATAACTGCATAAAATAATTTCAACTTTGTAATTTATAGGAAGAGTTTTCCTTTAAAATAAAACTTTTGCATTTTCAACCACTGAAGCAGAATTGGAGGCAATTAGCAGACATCCTAACTTGAAGTTAAACAGTATTTTTTTCAGGACATACAGCTGGAGAGAAATTTTCAGTTGTAATGCAATTCCCTAATGAACCATAGTGAACATACTAGGTTGCTTTCTCTGCAATCTTGAAAAAATTACAAAAGGTATTTCATTATGCTATGAAAGAGATATATAAACATGCAAATGTTTCCTGTTGCTATAAGTTTTGAGGAATGACTTCTGCAAGCATTTATCTATAGCATATCTAAATTAAATAGCCCCGCTAGAAGGAAGAGAAAACATTTTGTATTCATTTAGTCATTAAACAGAATCAGGAGCAATTGCTAAAATAATGGATCCCGATTATTCATTACCATTATGCTTTACTGGCTGGAATAGATACCTGATAAGAATCGTATCAGAACTATAGCTGCTAATGAATGATTAAAGGCTAGGGAGCAGATGTGAAGGGAAAGTACAACAATACCTCATTTGTTTTTTTCTGAGGATGCTTCATTCTATTCTACTGAGTTTTCCTTTCTACAGGATATCTACAACGTAATGGACTGAACTAGGACCATATTTGGACTCTTATCCACCTCTCTTTCTTGAACTGTGACAAAAAAAAAATCAAAACCTTGACAAAGTTTATGAACTAAAAATAATAATAATGTCCAAAATGTCAATGGAAATATTTTGTTTAGGTGATTTTAAAATATTTGGATTATAATAGAATTAGCTTGTGTTTTGTAGCTAAAATCATTTTACAGAAAACCAAAATCTCTAAATCGAAGCATCAAAACTATGTTTTATCAAATTTATATTTCAGGGTTTTGAAATCTGATTTGATTTATTTCCTACAAAGTTTTGGCTTAGACAAATAGAGGCTTTGGTTTTTTGGATGAAACTAATTTCGTCAAAAAGCTCCAAGCTGGCTTTGCTGTTCATGTACATGTAGTCCATACAAATATCACAGGAAACTTCTGGTATATGCAACGGCTTAATCAGCTGAAACTTGAATAACACGCAGACACGTATCTAACTGATCCCCAGATGACTAGGAAATCTGTGTCCCATATGCTGTTTAAAAAGGGAGGTCTTAAAATTTAATCAGACAGGAGAAAGAAACAGAGCTTGCTTTTTTTTAAATTATAATTCAATTTTTTCACTTTATATATGTATTTAAGCCCCATCTATTCATCTGATCCACAGATTGATCTGCAACTGCTTACAAGGTTTGTCACATATTACCTAAATTCACCCAGAATTCTATTTTATTGGCATCCCAAAAATTCAGATCAACTTGAGAACCCATAAGATGAGTAAAACCATCATGGACAAACACACATGCTTGCCTGCGTGGGAAATTAGCACTTAGTCATCTCCAGCACAGAAGTGTACTTCACTAAACCACTACCTCTCAGTCTGTATCAGTCTGCAGGCTCCTGGTTTTCTTTTTCTTCCCAGTGGAAGTACAGAGCTTTATGAAGCAAATCAAAGCTGCCTGACTCTTCATAGGTTAATTTTCACACACGCCTTACAAAAAGCTCACAGACCTCCAGGATCCATGGACTACATGGGGAAAGCAACAGCAGCACCAGTGCTCAAGACTTGTTCCCACATAGAAACTCTTTGTAGTGCACAGAGACTGGGAAGTACCTTTGCACTGCTTTGAGAAAACCCATCTTTTTCAAGTTCAACTAATTTCCAGTTACAAACACAGCCATGTGTATAAAACAGAAATGTTACTACATTTCTTGAGCATAATGAAGTGCTCTTGGCACCAGCAGAGACTCGGACTTTATACATAAGCCTTATTAAGACTTAGTTACCTTTTAAGGTGGTAGGAAAGCATAGACCATGAAGAGCTCTGCCAGAGCAGCTTTATCAAACTTTCCAGTGGCAGTTCAGGGGATTACCAGCCACAACAGTCTGCCTTCTGCAGGGGGAGATGCCAGCCCTCAGCTGCTCCCGTGGCTCTCCCGACTGCAGAGCGTGTACAAACGCAGCTGGGTCTCCTTGTGACACCTGCAAATAAAAAACAAGAGGAAAATTCAGTGTCTGGAGAAGATCACCTCCCTGACTGCAGGGCACAGAGAGTTAGTTGTCCTCCAGCAAAGCTAGCCACAGCCGAACCAGTTGTGAGGGTCAGTTCAGGTTAAAAATAACCAGAGCTTTTTTGGGGGTGTGGAGGAGCAGGCTCTGCATCCAGGTTGTTGCAAGGCCCCACGAACAATTTTACAAGAACAACTGAAGGAGAGCATAGGCTGGGAATGAGCAGCTGGGGGCTGTTAGGATGGCATTGTCAGCGAATGGCACCGCTTCCCCAAATTTTCACTAAAACAGAGCTTGAGCACTCAGATAATCAGCCACGACATCTGAGATAGGGGAGTGGTACTGAGCAGATGGGCCAATACCTGCTTAAAGTGCTCCAGCTCCAGTCACTGAAAAGGACATCTGTCCCTGCTCTCAGCCCGGGTGCCTCAGTGACCCCGCTGCAGCTGGGCAGCAAGAACTCTTCTCTGTGTTTATGAAAGGGTATTTTTCAGAAGCTGGTACTCTGAGTGGTATTTCAAATGAATTTTCACATGGAGGCCAAAAAAACTCCCGCTGTCAGATGTATGGAATATCAAGTCCTTGTTGCAACACACAGAGGTACCACAGCTCCTCAGCTGAACAGTTGCAAATATATTTTTAAGATCCCCAAACCAGCAAGCTTTCCCTCAGCCCTGTCCAACAAAATATTCTTATCTGAAACTTTTCACTCTGAGGCACACAATAGTTTTGGAGATTTCAGCCCCCAAAATGAAAGTTTAGCAAGTGAATGGCATCTGAAAGTTGAATTCCTGAAGGCAAACGATGAACACCTGTGGCTACACTATACTTTACGCTAAAAAGTACCATGTACTCTAAAAAGTTACCATGTCTCTCCTTCCCTCTATTCATGTATTAAACCCCAGACCATCATATTTTTCCCAGTAACACTCGGGCCAACATACAACGCTAAAAGCGTATAGAAATGACTAATATGAACGGGCTGAATATAAGGCATTTAAAAAATAAAACAGAAATAAATCATTACTTAAGAATAACTGTTTTGTTTGCTTGTCATTAGACATCTGTTCATAGACACTGCAAACGTTCCACTTTGTGTCTGGGTTTAATAGTAACAACTTTGCAGGGATGCCTTCTTCTTCCTCCTCATTGTTTTCACTTGGTTTCTAGGGCAAACAAAACCTCTTTTTTTTCAGCCCTTTAATAAATTAAAGCTGCTGCAGAGTTAGAAGTAAATAACTGCATACTATGGAAACTTAAATCCAGCAAGCCTCAGAATGTATCAGAGGTCACTATATGCACAGTATCAAACTCTTTCTCACTCCCTTCACCCCTTGGTAACACCCAGGACCTCTCTGCAGTAACCGAGTAGAATTCAGGGCAGAAATTGACCTGAAAAATGTAGAGTTAGACCTCCTCTTCCTCCCCTCTCCCTGTCATCTGCTAACATTTCCAGACAACAAATAGCATACTGAATCTAAACTGTTTTGCTGGAAATGCCATCTGCGTGGTGGCAGCTGGGGTGGGAGGGAAGGCACATAGACGAATGAACAGCAATAAATATAGAGAGCAGACAAAATTAGAGAAGTTTTGCTGCTTTCCAGTGCTCTGGATCTTTGCATGCTTCTCTTAAGTGGATACAGCTCTTCTTAAACTGGTGTTTGAACATCTGGGTTACTTAGCAAGACAGCAAATTCAGAACATTTGAACAGAGATGTCAAACAAGCCAGTTTGGGCAAAATGCTAAGACTACTGAAAATGCTGAAGTCATTTATGGTTATATTCCATTTTTAACATATTGCAGTGTGCTGTAACTAGCAAGGGGGAAAAAAAAAGAAGATGAGAGTAAGTATTGTCAAAAGGAATAAATATGTCATAAACCATCCAAAATTAAAAATCAGTGAAGATCTGGAGAGAATGTTTCTTGCAGACCAAACATAAAATCAATGTCCAGATCATTGACAACTGAACCTCAATTCTACAAAAGAATTTCTGGCATAACATTTTAATTTCCCATTGCTATTCAAAAGGACCACTCACATTTGAATCATCCCTTTTTGCTGTATTGCAGAAAGGATAATTCAGTAATTAAAACCCCATCTTAAAGAATTCAGTTCTGTAAATAAGATGACATCAGAGAAAATCTTAGAGATTGAAATTTTGCTCATATCTCTTCACTAGCAGATTGCTAACAACATCTTGTCTACACAGAACCACAGAAGGGCTGAGGTGGGAAGGGACATCTGGAGATCATCAGGTACAACCTTCAAGCAGGGTCCACAAGGCAGCAGGTTGCACAGGGCTATGTCCAGTTGCATTTTGAATTATCTCCAAAAATTAACTCCACAACCCCTCTGGGCAACCTGTTCCAGGGTCTCACCAACCTCATGGGTAAAAAGTTTGTTCTTCTGTTTATACAGAATTTCCTCTGTTTCCTTTTGTGCCCATTGCCTCTTGTCCCTTCTCTGGATACCAGTGAGAAAAGACCGGCTCTGTCTTAGAGAAAAGACCGTCTTCTTTGGTCCCTTCTGTCAGGTATTTATATATATGCATAAGATTCCCCCTAAGTCTTCTCTTCTCGAGGATAATATGTTAGTAAATATTAGTAAAACATTTGCAAAATATTTAAAAATATATGTTTACTTACCTTGGAAGCACCTCAGAAGTTTCTTCCCTGATCTGTCCATGGTTTCCACATTGAATACGGCTCCCAAGATACTTTTTAGGGTAAGTGCTGCTGTTGTTAGGAGTTTCATCGACTGCAGCAGGAGACCTTACTTCAGCAACGTTGCATACTTTCAAACTATACCGAGGTAAGTCATTCGGTAAGACATTCTCCTCTTCCCTTAAGTGTTTAATTAGAATAGACACATTTCAACCTGTGTTAACTCACTCTTGAGGTTCCTCTAAAGTTCATGAAATTTAAGAGCAATCAATAACAATGAGTGAGCTCAGTCCTTGAGCAAGTCTACAGCTGCACTACACCTGAAGGAACTAAACCACACAGAAGCCTTTTAATGCACTTTAATTTATGGAAGTTGGACTTGCATCCCTAACTTGATTTGCCTTCACTTTCTTGACTGTCCTTATTTAGAAATGCCTGGAAATAAAGACTTTCTGTTCTGTGCCGCAGTTCTCCTTGCGTAAGACAAAGAAAGGACATATCATATTGGTAAATAAATTTAGCCAATCAACATCCACTTTAACAAAATCTATGTAATGAAAAGTGTAAAACTACATACACATGTCAGTTATAATAAGCTCATTACTCTATCTTCTCTTCAGATTTCCTAAAATGCAGTTCTATCTTGCAGTAATATTTGCCTGTAGTGCAAGATACGACTTTATCTGTCGTGATAATGCCATCATAAGATGTCATGATAAAGACATCTTACATTTTCATTTAAGCATTAAATCTTTCAAAGCTGATACCCGATGCTGATAAGCAAGTTTCTCAACAGGCAGCATGCAATTCATATTACCAGCACCAGATACCTAAGCTGGGTGTGGAAAACCACACAGTAGCTACCCCTACAAGGCTGCAGTTCCATGTCCCCCATCAGGTGACTTAACCACGAGGTGACAAGCCAGCTCCCTCCTCCCCACTGGTAGAGTTGTCCCACCTTCATCTTTTTCCCCACCTTCGCTGCTCACCATCAAGACATTTCTGCATGGCTGCCTACCAGAAAACCACCATCTCTCTCTCTGCTGGGTCAGATTCCTGCTGGCTTAGCACACCGAAACGGTTCAGTGACCCGTGTCAGCCAGCACCCAGCCAAGCCGCAATGGCAAGACCCAACCGTCACCACCCTCTGAATATTCCAGGGGCGTTGGGAAAGTGAGGAGGACGTGCCTTGGCTCAAAAATGGGTCCCAAATGCCTGGAAAGCCAGCTGAAACAAGGGGATGGCATGTTAACAAACTGGTAAATTGTAAACATTGGTCAGTTTATAAACACTCCGCAGCGCTAGAGCAATTTCAAAGGATCTGTTTATTTGAAATACAAGCCACATATAGATTTTTATATAAGTTTTGGAGCCTCATTTCTGAAAGGAAATAATGTTTGCAGAATATCCCAAATATCTACTGTTATGCATAATTCTCCTCTACATGATGGATGAGTAAACAAATGGGACCTAACACACATTACATGAAAATGAAGAATAACCAACACTGCCCTCTTCTATGGGAGATATATTACAGCCATTCAGCTAATTCCTGTGGGCTCAATTTCTGGCCATAGTGCAGCAATTCTCTTTGTCCTTTGCAGTTTACCTTAAAATCTTCCAATTAACAACTTTTTAAATTTTCTCTTGAGGAAGAACCGGGAATCACAGGTCACCTACAATAAAATGGAAAAAAGTTTTTCATCAGCTGCAGTGAGTGGTTCACAGAACAGCAAATAAAGCACAAGCAGGCTGTTATGATACCTTACAACATTGAATCGCCTTGTTTTGCATAAATTTTCACAGAAATTCTTAAGGTCTTGAGTAAGAACCTGAACTCCATTTAAATAAAATTAACCTGAAGAAACTCAACTGTGTTCTTAGTCTCATAATCTTTCGGATACCTTAAGATTTAAGACCCGCACCACTACTGAAAAGTTCAAAATACATTCATAAAAATTTGAACTTTATTGTCCCATTTGAGGTTATGTAAGAAAATGGAGAAGATACACGACTCCTGATGTGTAACTAAGGGAGAGCCATTTGTGTGAACTGGTTCTTATTCTTCAACAGTGCACACAGTTCACATACTCCCAACAATGAAAATGGGGCCGACGCAGTGCATGAGGATCAGATTTTGATAAAGACCATTTACATCAGATCAGAGATCTTCAGCAGGCATTACACAAGCTCCACAGTCACCTTCAACACTGTAATTTCAAATTTGCAGCAGAGGACCTAGGAGAAAGCAAGAGTACTACGTGTACCCTTGTTTTCTTGAACTCCTTTCTGACACAAAAGCTTTGGTCCTCAGCAAACACTTTCACATATCCTGGTGTTTGTAGATATTATTTTTTTTTTAGGTCACAGGTACTATACATCTGTTTTGCTCTTAATTTTTGCCAGAAATGGAGCAATGGTTGAGCTGGGTAGCTAGTTTAATAAATGAACGGATTTGGTAACAAAGCAAGTTACTGAAATGGCCACAGATTTTTGTGGAGGTCCCAATGGACTTTGGAAGTGCCTCCTATTCTGCGATAACCTCTGGTGAATGGTCCAATTTCCACCTAAACCATCTAAAGTTATTTACTTCTATGTAAAATGCTGTATGTGGTCGTTAACTGGGAGAATAATAACCTTAAAAAGAGGCAAATTGCAATTTTGAACCTACTTTGGAACTTTTTTGGGGGGATAGTATAGCACTGCTGCTTACACAGCGTTCCCTCCTCACCAGAATTTTCTGTGCTGGAGGAAAATAAAGCAGCATTTGTTTTGTGTTCTAGACAGAGATCTTTTAAAAGAAAAAAAAGAAAAGGACAAAAACCCAAACCAAACCAAAACATCAGCCATTCTTGAAACCAGAAAGATCTTGGTGACAATATCATTTTCCTGGAAGAAAATCTACAATAGCTCAGGATTTCCAGAAGTATTTTGGATTCCTGGGAAAGAGGGAGAAAAGTTGTTGAAAGTGTGTGTTATCACAGAATCATGGAATTGTAGGGTTTGGAAGGGGCCTCCAGAGATCATCTAGTCCAACCGCCCTGCCAAAGCAGGTTCACCTAGAGCAGGCTGGACAGGAATGCATCCAGCCATTGAGTATGTCCAGAGAAGGAGACTCCACAGCCTCTCTGGGCAGTCTGTTCCAGTGCTCTGGCACCCTAAGAGTAAAGAAGATTTTCCACATGTTCAGATGGAACTTCTTGTGTTCCATCTTGTGCCCATTGCCCCTTGTCCTGCCACCAGGCACCACTGAGAAGAGCCTGACCCCATCCTCTTGACATCCACCCTTGAGATATTTACAAGCATCGATGAGATCCCCTCTCAGTCTTCTCTTCTCCAGGCTAAACAGACCCAGGTCTCTCAGCCTTTCCTCCTAAGAGAGGTGCTTTCCCTTGATCATCCTTGTAGGCTTCCACTGGACTCTTTCCAGTAGCTCCCTCTCCTTCTTGAACTAGGGGGACCAAAACCCAGAGCAGGAATGCTAATTCCTTAACACCCCTCTTTAAATGCAGGAGAATATTCCCTCCCGTACACTTGCAGGGAAGACAGAGAGTAAGAAATGGGATGACAGCCTGTCCCCCCTTTGCTAGTGGTGCTTGAGAAGCACCCACGGAGGACAGACATGTCTCCTGGGATGGGGTACAGAGGTACACAGCACAGCAGAAAAAAACCTGAGTACATCTACAACCGAATGCCTCAGCCAGGCTCTTCCTGCCCTTCCCGGCTCTGAACCGTGTGCGTGAAGCACAGCCCTATAGGCACCTCCATATAAAGCAGTTTTTCGAATTAAGGGAATCCATTAGAGGCAGATTTCAACTTTCATTCATCCTCCCACCACTGATGAGCACTGTAATTGCCAGGCACAGGCAACACAGTCCACTTGTCTCCATTTTCTTCCTTCATAAGTCGCAAAGTGCATATAATGTGCTAGTAGTAGTCTAAAAGTGGTCAGATTGGTGAATGAATAAGCTTTTAATGCAATGAATAAGCCATCATCCAAAGACTGATTTTTAAAAAGTATCCCTTTCCACTACTCAGTGAGCCTTGATAAACAGGCATACCAGAAACTAGCTTAGGCTAGAAATTACTTCCAACCTGAATTTACGACTTCACCAGGGGGTTACAGTTTACAGAGAAAGCAGATAAATAGGTTGAAAGAGAAAAGATGGCAGTATGAACGACAACAGTGGAAAAACCAACAACTACGAAACATAAATTCTGTATTTCAAATTAATTACTCTGTTCTCTTGGAGGAACAGTCATTGAACCTGGGCAGAGATGCCTTTGGTTTGCCCGCTAAACATCTTCTGAAGCTTCCCCTCTAGCAGGTGGAGAGGAACAGAGTCCTCGGAGAGGCAGTGAGAGCAGAAGCTGGGTAGGTGTGACGAACACCGCCTGGAGGAACCTTCCTCTTCACACACCGTTGAAAATTAGGATGCTGCCTGGCTGAGCGAAGTACTTCATGTTGGGTGTTCCACATTAAAAAGATTCGTTAGCATTTTAAAAGGGGAGATATCAGTGTTACCTGAGAATAATTATTACAGAATCCTGGAAATTCAAATTCTTGTTTTTACACATATTCATTCATGCAAATGCAGAACCTGACCCAGAAATTTTATTCAGGTGAGTAATCTGCCTTTGACTTCAACAGGATTCTACTATATATGAACAAAGCAATCAGGTCAGGTTTTGCATTTGCACAGTACCCTCCATTTGACTTCAAGTGGGACTGTTATGTTGTAAAAACTCCCAAATCATGCCAGTTTGTCCAGACAAGATTTTAAATCACCTTTTGAATATTCAGCTTCAGCAATATGGAAAGCAACACTGCCAAATATTCCATAACCATTCTTTTGCAATTACTCACATTTTGATTAGAAAATTCTCATAAATACCATTTCTCAGGGATGTTGTCACCTGCCTTGTGTTAGATACATCATCTCCTCTCTGTAATTAGTCACACAAACATTGAAAAATGAGTTTATGACCCGGAATGGAGTTGTGACAAACCCTTCTGAAGGCATACCTGAAACACAGCCCACGAGAATCCTCAACAGATATAAATGATTTATGCATATACCAGCAACACACAGCCTCCAAACAAGCTAGAGACCTGCCAGGAGGAGCAGTAATTCAGTATCTGCTTTAAAAGGAAGAATGTAAAAGTGACCACAACTGAGGAATGAGGCACTCAGTCCTCCAACTGGAGAAAGGTAAGGAGAACACTAATAATTTGGGGGATTTACATCACCCCTGTACTTTCTGATGTGCAAAAAGGCGAGGAAGGCGCACAGAACAAGAATGGTTTGGACAACAGATGTGGAAAGCTGCACATCGACAGTGTCCTTATTTTGGTAATTAATGATTGGTCTTCTGAGCCACTGGTTCCACTTGCCCACCACGTGAGCTACACTACTATGAAAACAGTGACCATGACACATTCCCTTTCTTCTACACAGGCTGTCTGCCGACTGCTACCTTGCTTGCACCTGGATGACCACTACCACTTTGCTTGGGGCCAACACTGGTTCTCCTGTGGCTGAGGTTGTGGCTTCAAATTGCAGCAAAAGTGAGAGAGCAACCAGCTGCCACAAAAAGGGGTGTCCCCACACGTCCCCTTCTTGCATGTCATCATCACCTCCCTAGAGCCAGCGGTGGTCCAGTGAACTGGTTCAGGGAGAAGGACACAAAACAAGCCACCCCTCCCCGAAGAGGCTGTTCTCAGAGTGGTGCCACCTTAGCCAAGGCAGTCCTTAGAGAGCAGCAAGCACAAGCAATTGCTAAAAGCTATCTGTGAGGTTTTTTCCACATGTGGGCTCGAAAAGAAAGAGGCTGTGGTATTGCTGTAGGAACCAGGAGACCCCAAATACCCAGGCCGGCGAGCACCATTCTGAAAACATTATATTTTCTTATTCCTTGGAGCAAATCATTGGGTGCCTCACACCGAAAAAGAAATATACTAAACAAACAAAAACAGTAGGTTAGGAGCTGGAAAACAAAACCAGCTAAACATAAATAAATCACGGACGTCTAGCAACATACTAAAATTCTTGGGCATTGTCATCTGTTGCTTATTACAGTTTCATTTACATTGGAATTTTCTTTGTTTCCCTGCAACTTTTGTGTATCCAAATAATTACAGTTGTATTACTGTATTATTTTTAAATCTAGTCAGTAGAGTGAATAGAGGAGCCTATCTCTGCATTATTCTGGCCAATATTACATTCTATTACATAAGAAATGGGAATTAAATCAATTTTAATGCACCACTTTAATAAGACGACAACCACAGTTCTAGATTGCAATTATGGAGATAATTACAATTTCATTGGTACTGCTTAAGATTAAGAATACAAAATTTACCTTGGATGAACAGTTCATTATCTAAGATGAACCCAAGCTATTTTTCTTCTAAATCATATCTTGGCTTGTTTTATTTCTTAACTTTTCCTGTTTAATAAAGGCATAAAGAATTTTACAGGTAGAGTATATCAAAACAGGCTAGCTGGTTCAATGTCAAATTCCTGTACAGTGATCTGAGAAAAAAAACATTAATTTTGAAACAGCTCTGCAGGCTGAGCATAAAGATTATTAAACATAAGTTTTATATATGCAGAAAAATTGCTTTTGCATGAATTCACTTTTAAAATGTTAATATATGCATAAGAAAATTGTGTTTCTTAATCTCTGAAGAAACACTTATCACTAGGAACCGCTTAATTCTTTTCCTGTGCTTGATTTATTAGCTTATGAAATTATGCTAATAGTTTGCATGTTAATGGTTTTGGGGCTCAAATGACCTGATTTTAATAATGAAGTAATTTATGCAGTAAATGTAATCAGCATCCATGAATCTCACTTAAAAGAACATATCAGTGATTACCAGTGCTAAAAAACAAATGATTGTCAGCATGATATACACTATATGTTACGACAGGGAACAGGGATGTGTTCAGCTCAGCATGCTTTTTAGGCTGGCTGAGTCCCACCTTGACAAACCACACTAAAGTCTGCAATTCCAACAACTGCTTACAGACCTTCAATCGCAGGCTGGCTTCCTCACAGGGTCATCTTCTACGGCAAGAGACATGAGGAGGAGATGGACAGCACATGAACCGACATCTAACCCGGAGCCAGTAGGAATTGCTCCATGAGTAGACCTCTGTGGCACAGAGAGCTCACAGACCTGGACAAAGGAGATTGCAGGAAGAAGGGAAAGCATGAGTTTGGGGAAGAAGTTGTAAATTTTACAGATTACAGGAAAAATGGCACTTATATTAAGGATGTGACCTGCATGGCATATAAAAGATGCAATGCCCTGCAACATTTGGGAAGAAGAGATCCTTCACAAAGATTATTTCCTAAACCAGCTGTATTTACAGACCTGCTCACTGTCAGGATGTATTTGAACCATGCCTCTGTTCTCCTGCATCATTTGCTGTGCTGTTCCCCAAGACGAGAAGAAATTCAAGACTGGGCTTTGAGAAGTAAACCGCAAAGCTTTCTTTGCAGTAACGTCAGCTTGTGTTTTGGTAACCTGCTGAATGCTGATATTCACTCTGGTATAAAAAAAAAAAAATCTCAAAAATATATTACTAGCTGCCAAAGATGATCTAACTGTTCAAACACCCAGACAGAAGCTGAGGGAGGTCAGGCTGGACATTAGCCAAAATGTATAAAGTCAATGGAAGAAACCCCATTGATTCAGCAGAGCTGGATCATTTCTTCCCCAAAGAAATGCCTAAAGGCTAGAAGTCCTCTCCCCTTTAAAAGACCAGGACTGAACAACTATATTTTGTAATTAATAAATACCTTGCTTGCAGCATCTCAAGCACATGATACAACAACTGGCTTCAAACACCACTTCCAGAGCTGTTCATTTCACAAAGCAAAAAGGTGATGTGTTCTGGAGCGTGGCTAATGCTCTTTACTGCAGAATTCAGACTATCAGCTTCATGCAATTTATTTCATTTCTTAAAGAGGAAAACCAACAGGCGTACCAGATACTTCAGCATGTTTTATGTTTTATCCCAGTCATAAACAGACTCCACGTCAGCCCAAGGCGTGTATGGACCATGCAAAAATAACTCAGCAGAAGCTATTCAAACTTTGCTCTTCAAACCTGGCTCTTTCCACAGACCATGGAGGCCTCGCTGCATGTTCAGGTGCACACAGAGTTAGGCTCTGAGACCCTTGTTAAGGGGGTTGTGGCAGAGAAGGCAACCTAAAGCCCAGGCTGCTGTCTGCACATAGCTTCAGGCAACTGCTGGAGAGGGTACATCAGAGGGCTACAGAGATGACTAGGGGCCTGTAGCATCTCTCTTATGAGGAAAGGCTGAGGGAGTCAGCCTCCTGAGGGAGTCTCTTTTTAGTCTGGAGAAGAGAAGGCTGAGGGGGGATCTGATCAATGCTTATAAATACTTAAAGGGAGGGTGCCAAGAGGATGGGGCCAGTCTTTTTTCAGTGGTGCCCAGTGACAGGACAAGAGGAAATGGGCACAGACTTGAATATAAGAAGTTCCACCTAAACATGAGGAGGAACTTCTTCACTTTGAGGGTGGAAAAGCACTGAAACAGGCTGCCCAGGGAGGTGGTGGAGTCTCCGTCTCTGGAGACATTCAAAACTCACCTGGACATGTTCCTGTGCAACCTGCTCTGGGTGGACCTGCTTTGGCAGAGGGGTTGGACTAGATGACCTCCAAAGGTCCCTTCCAACCCCATATCATTCTGTGATCCTCCTCATTAGCCCTGGACAGGGGCTGGGCACAGCAACAAGAAACCTGGTGAAAGCATCCCTGTAGAGGCAGAGACAGGGCTCGTTCTGTGAGCTGCAAAGTCCCCAGCTTCCGAGAAGCCCAGGCTGGGCTGAACCCCACTGCTGTAATAAGAGCAAACTTGATCAAAGCCTGTGCTTTTGCTTTAGATGTGGATGCCATACACGTTGTTACCATAGAGCCGTGACAGCTTAACGAGCTATCACCCGTCAACCCAGTCGCTGTTACTACAGGCCTACCTACCCTGCCCCTTCTCTCCAGAGAAATGATCTTCCGTCTCAGGGAGCGTCTCTCAGAGCTGAGTCCCAGCTGCATGGAGCTGCCTGCCCTGCTGCCGTCCCTCTCCCAGACCCAGACATCCTTGTCTTGCCAAACAGGATTTCTGGAGGTGAGAACTTCCCCTCCTCCATTTCCCTGCGTTGCGCCTGGAGGACGCTCCCCTGACGAGAGGGACCTGCTGCCGGCGGAGGCAGGGTCGGGGAAGGCAGAAAATAAAAGGAGAGTTTTCAAAGTTCAGACAGTTTTCTTGGCAACCTCGTAACAGCTCAAAGGGGTAAGTATCTGTCTGCTGTTTACTTGGAAATCTGACAAGAACAACAACTCACCGCTGACAAACCAGGCTCACAAATGCCACAAGCCCAAGCTGCAGAGCCCTGAGCTTCTGGCTCATGCGTCCCACCAGACACAGACAGAGACACCCGGATGGACAGCCGGCATCCCCGTTTCACAAGCAAACAGGAAAGTTCCTGGCAGGCTCTCTCTTCTCCACTTGTGGGATTCACAGAATCAAAGAATGGGAAGAGGCTTCCAAAGATCATCTAGTCCGACCTCCCCGCAGTCAGCAGGGACACCCCCAACTAGACCAGGTTGCCCAGGGCCTCGTCGAGCCTCTCCTTGAATATCTCCAGGGATGGGACCTCAACCACCTCCCTGGGCAACCTGTTCCAGTGCTCCACCACCCTCACAGTGAAGAACCCTCTCCTAATCTCCAATCTAAATCTGCCCCCCTCCAGCTTAAAGCCATTGCCCCTCATCCTGTCACTGCAGGCCTCTGTAAACAGGCTCTCCCCAGCCTTCCTGCAAATCTCAGCCTCCCTGGCCGGGTGAGGACCTAGGGCCCTGCGGTTTCTCCAGCTGTGAGAGGAAAGGGAGCACTGCCATAGCCCTGCTCCCAGGCCAGGCCAGGGCTGGGCACTGGAGAGATGATGGCTGTGGTTGCCCTCACCTGCCCACCTCTGGCTCTCTGGCAAGGTGAAGATGCCATCCCAGCCCCTTCTGCAGAAGCACCGAGGTGGTCCTTGGCATGAAGAGATGGATGTTTGTCTTGCTGTGCTGCACTCACTCTGGCTGAGAGCTTTCTGTAAGGGGGCGGGTGTGAATGGAGACGCATGCTCGGTGAGGGAAGAGCATGGGGTCCATAGGGAAGAGCCAGGAGGGACCTGTGCTGCTTCCTCACCTGCTGTGGTTTGGGAAGGGAGGCGCAAGGAGGGGGTGTGTAACTGTGGCTGCTTCACTGTAGCATGGAGAGGAGCTTCCTATGGGCCATTTTGGACCTTTCACTCAAGGTCCAACAAAAAATAATCATTGACACACTGAAACACAGTATTTACAACTAATCAGCCCTAGGTATCACTCAGACACTGCAGTTCCAGAAATCAGTTTGGTAGAAACCACTCCTGTATTTACTTACCCACCTTAAAGCAGAACAGAAACATATCACAACACGTACAAAATGTTAGATGATTCTGAAGCTATCAGACTGTTCATTAGCTAGCTTAAATAACAGCAGACTGTTAGCACAGCCCTCTTCATTTCATGCTGCTCTTGTCTCTTACATTGTGTCTTGATTTAATATTAGGCTTTAAATACTTCTTGGGTAAGGATTTGTTTCCCTATATACTTGTTCTACCCCTAGTAAATAGGCCCACGTTCCAACTAATGCCTGCAGTTTCTAAAACACAATCAGCAGTAATATTTATTGCTTTTTTATGTGCCCATCCAGAAAAAGAAAATTGTTACCAGAATAACACTCAGAACAATAACAGGATGCAAATGTGCACCCTATTCTTCCAGCTCGCATGCTTTACTCCAGAATCATGCCAGTTCGTGTGGAAGTCAGCGGGAAACCTGACCAAATGAGGACTTCTGATTTGTGTCCTAGGCATCTTTTTGCTGGATTCGTCACAGTTAAGGCCCTTTTGTTTGTCTCTCTTCATATTCTAGGAATGCAAGTAGCCCACAATGGCAAATCTGCACATTTGGTCAAAAAAGTTGCTGTGATTTCAAAAATAGGTGTGAAAAACACCACGTTGCAAGCTGAGAGGTGAATAAAAATATGGGATTCGGTGTGTTCATGACTTTTAGGAACAAAAAAGAGAAAAAAAGCCCAATCGTGGAGCCTTTCCTGAGTCTTGTCACTCTTAATTGCAATTTTAATTTCTGGAATATCAACAGCCCAATATTCCTGGATCAGCCTGCACTGCTACAGAAGACCCTCATCCTGCCTAGGAGTGGTTAGCCACAGGGATACAGGGTTTTGCACATCCTCTCCCTCTTTCTCTCCTCCTGAATCAAACCTCTCCTACCTCCCTCAGCATCGCTTCATGGCTCTTCCACTCCTCTCCTCCGCCTGTGGCCTGCCTCTTGGAGCATCTTTGGTGCTCCCCCCATCCCCAGCAGAGCAGCCCCAGGCCAGGGTGACCTTTCCCTCTGGATTTTTTGTCTGGTGGGCTCTGAGGGCGCGGAGTGACAGCCAGCAGCATCCCCACCCCAGCGCCTCCCTAATCAAGCAGCACTCCCACCCCTCACGCGCCCGCCCGCAGGCTTCTCTCTTTAATGTGACATTGATCATCGTGACATAAAATGGTCACGGATATCGCTTCCTAAAACTCAGGAATGTGACAGCTAGAGACAGAATCGCTAGTCTGTGGCCTGAAGACTATATGGATTATTCAGGTCAGGATAAATCAGGATGGATATTTGCCCTACTTCCATATTCTAGCTATTAATAACCAAAAGCACGCCAGATTGTGGCTTGTTCTGTGCGACTGCACAAGGGAGCAACACTCCCTCCCCCACGCCTCCACATACACATGCACAGACTAATATTTTTGGCTAAGGTTTGAAAGCCATTCGCAAACCCAGCCTCTGAGCTTGGAGTCAAGCCCCAAGCATGTGGAGGCCCTCCTTCACCAGGCAAGAAAGGGAAGCCAAGGCAGGCTGTAAAAAGATATGGGAGACCTCTCCTGGTCTACTGCCCCAGAAACCCTAAAGAATACAAGCTGCTGCTCTCCCCTGTTTTCTTCAAGCCCTAGCACAGCTCAATCCGTCAGGGCTCACCCCCCTTTGCCAAGCACAGTGCCAGAAAATGAATGTCCTTCTGGCAAGCCCTGGTAGAGAAGATGCTGAACACCTACCCAGAGAAGCCCAGCCACACTGCTCCTGGAAACCTTTCTGGCCACCATGCCTCTACAGGATTTCAGTATGAAGAAGCCACACTTCCCCCCCAGTTCTGAAAGAGAGAGATGATTCAGTTACAGAATTAAATGGAGTTGCACCTTCCCCAGCTTTAAAATAGCGAGTGAATTATCCTCCATATCAAGTCAGCACTCACCTTTGAGAAGGATGCAAGACAGAAATTGTACAGTGTCTCTTTGCAGAATACTAGCTTTTATGAGCCGTCATTAACATTTTTGGAAGATTAAGCCCTCAGAAGCCTGAAGCTCTTCCACTTTTAAAATAGTCTTTCAAAAGCCAGCTTTTGCTTTCAGTTGCAAAGGGAAAAATACAAATATTTTTTCAGACCACTGACATGGAAGAACTACCCTGACAGCTGAGACAGCCTCCCTGAATAGAATCCCTCTGCTCTTGGGAGATGGAAAGCTATTCTCTGCCATCCCTTTTGGGTCACTTATGCAATCTGCTCTAGCAACTGGTGCCCGTTCAGTCCAGCCACAGACCAGACATTCTCTGGACTGTCTAAATGCCATTCCCTGGATTTCCCCAGGAATAAAGCCTTTATACTTCCCTCCACCACCATATTCATGGCCTATTACTGTAAAGCATTACTGCTCCTCCCAGTCCATAAAATGCCACTGGTTCCCATTTTAATTCCAAAAGGATAGCTCTTATGCAGCAACTGCACCACACCGCAGTCGGCAGTAGTTGAGTTCTCTTCTCTCTGTGTTTCTAGACGCAACTCCATATTTTATTTATCAGCTAAAAGCCAAGCAAAGTAACCATAATGAGAGCAGGTCGAGTGCCAGGAGCAGCCTACGAGCCTCTACAACACTCGTCCCCCCTCTCCTGCTTCTCCCACACTGCTCTATCCACCATTGACTCTGATCCTACTTAGTTGACACGAGGCCTCAGTGGCTGCAGTTCATAATCCCCGTATCTTTTGTCCTCTGCCCAGCACAGCACTAGTGTTTCTAAGCAGTTTCAAACAGGGTCTTCCTGCTCAGCTCATTTAATAACTAGATTTGCTAGATCTCTCGCCATTATTTGGCAGAGGGCATAATATGTACTTGCCAAGTCCTATCTTGAGTTACTCTTCCAGAGATTCTTTAGGCTGGGGAAATAAAAAGCGTCCTTCACTTTGTTTCAGCAAGAAACCCCTTTTTTTGTTCCCCCCGCCCCAGCTTTCTTTGTTTCTAACCATAATATTATCTTGGACAGAGACATCTTGAAATAAATAGTGGTTGGAGGTTTCCTGAGGACCTAACTAGAGAGCATGTTAATAAAATAACCAAAAGCTCATTCAACTCTCCCCCCCCTGCATTGGATTGTCCAGCTAAAGTAACTGTTCTTTTGCTTACAAAGGCACAAGTTGGACCAAATTGTCCACAGAAGTCCAGGAATCTGGATGTGGAGATAATTGTTCAGAGTCACATTCTGATTAACACGGGTACCTCCATTTCCAGGGACTACTGGAGCCTCCCTGCTGAAAACAAGAAGAAAATTTCACAGGTTTGTTACATTAAAAGGTTAGCAAGGAAATGACAGGCAACACGGGGAAAGGAAAATCATAGCAGTCCCACATTAAAAACATCATTTTAAATGGACTTTCAAGGAGGTAAGAGAACGAAAACATGAATATTTCTTTCTCTTTGCATCCAAGCTAATAAGATAAACAACAATCGGGGTTGCTGGCCCTTCTAAAGTCAGGGACTAAAATACAGCATTAAGGATGGCAGAGGGAACAGCCCCTCAGAGGAAGTACAGAGAAGAGGCATAGGCAGCCTCTAAGTAAACTCAGGTAAGTTTCAGACCTAGCCTATGTGAGTTAAGAATGACTGCTGGCCTCACAGCTGCAACTGTAACTGGGAGTCAAACATTTGGGAGTGAGAATAAAGGAAAATGGGATTGTGTCCACCTAGAAGTGAGATTCAAACATGGAAAGAGCTTACTCTTGAGCTACAGTCAGCCTCTACTCACTGTAGATGCTTATTGCTGTATTGGGTCCCACATTGTAATTAGCAAATGAAGCATCAAATGATGAACATCTGATTTCGTTTGCAAACATATATATACACAAGATGATGTCTCGTCAATGCATAATACAAAGGCTTAACAAATTGTGTAATTATACATTTCCTGCAGATTTTCTGTTACTTTTCATGTAATATTTGAACATTGTTTGCCATGTTATCAATAGCTTTTAATTATTTAAATATTTAAGCAGCTGATTACCATATTTCTGCATTACACAGCTATGAAATTTGGTGCTCTCATATAGAAGGTACAAATCTAAAATTGACTTTGTAAGCAAGGGTCTTTTCTTCAAATATAACACTGGCTTTGTGGATAACAAAAACATATATAAAATGTGTTTCTTTATAAGTACTACTTCTTTTTATTATTCCCTATATTATATAACATGTGATAATATTTAGGGAGGCCTGCTGGAGCTCTTACGGAGTTTTTCCTATCTGACTTTACCAGTCTTATTTTCCTGTATATATACTTAAGAGAAGTACTAGTCCAATAAAACTTTACTTCCTAAGGGGAATTCCCTTGCAGAACACTGTCAGCAAGAAGTGATAGCAGACAAACAGGAGGAAGACACATCGGAGTCAGCTTCCCAAACAAATCTAAACTCACCCTCATGTTCCTCTACTTAATAAGGCAACAGCTCTGAGCCTGAGCAATGTGCACAAGAGATGCAAATAAACCAACACATTTCCTGGAACGCTACTGGGAGACAAACAACAAATTTGCAGCAGCACACTATAGACATACCAAATATATGCACATATTTATTACAGTAATATTAAAAGGACAGACTGCTTTTTTCACATGTCTGTGCAGCTTGTGCACAATGGGAGCCTCTTTCTGTTCAGTGTCTCTGGACATACTCCTTAATCCAAAAAAAAAAAAAAGAAGCAACAGCCTCTCCCTCTTTCTCGCCTCCCATGAGTATTTGAGATTCACATGGTTTTGTTTGCTTCACTGAGAAATGGAAAAAAGACTAAAAGGAGGGTCAGACACTCACAACAGCCTGGTGTTTTGTTTTTGTTTTGTTTTTTTTTTATGAAAGGGTGATATTTACCTTTCTAAAATCATCTTATTTACTCACATAGCAGAAGGTAGGAAGGACTTTGGAGGCAGAACATAAAATTAAATCTGGTTTTGCAGAGGTAATCAAGAAGGGCTCTCAGAAGATAATTCTGAGAGATCAAAAGTCTTGGACACAACTTGGGTGTTCTTACTGCCAAACCTTGTCACGTAATTCCTAGGAGGATTTCATCACTGTTACAAAGGGACAGCAATAATCCCACTTAAAATGCCTGCTACAAAAAGACTTTTTTTCACCAAGGAATTGATTCCCTAGGGAAGTCTCATTTCTCTAACCAGCACCAAAAATCCAAGCTCATGCTCGTCTCTGGTATATGCCTATAAAAGATATATATGTGACAAGTACATGCATAGACTTATTAGTTGTAGCTGTTCATATATGCTAATCCAAGAACAATTTATGTTTCTATTGGACCAAACAGGAAATCTATGTTAACCCTGGTAGATGGACACTATGTGGTATGCCACGTGCTAAGGGTGAAAAGCCTCTTTCTGAGAAAAACGAGCTTTATTTTCAAAACAGTGGTTTGGAGGTTAACCCACGCAGGAGTGAAATCATCAAACCAAGGTCAATGATGTCATTCGGGACAGCCCCAGACCACAAAGCCCAGGCATGACTAGCTTCTCTTAAAGTTTAGGAGTGCCTGGAAGTGCTTGTTGCCCAAGCTGGTGCTTAGACTTTCTTCTAGTGGTAAATTTCAACCACAGACGTGAAAATGATCGAGGGTCAAACACACAGTGAAATGGATATTCTGGAAAGGGAAGGGAAGAAGGAGCAAAAGACAAAAATACTATTACCATACTGCACAGCAAGGAGAGAGGACACCAAAGAAAGCACACAAGGTGGGACAGAGGGCCTGCATCACTTTAAGCCCTGAAGTTGGGCATCCCAGGAAGGCCTGGATGTCTCACCCATGTCTGGTACTCTGAGCTAAAATCTATAGCAATGGGAAAAAAAATGGAAACCCAAACTCTTAATTCTGAACTGCACTTCTCTTAAATTTGGCTCAGGATATTTAAAGGGGCAGGAGCCAAACTTTTCTATTTTTAGGCTTTTTTCACCTGGAGCATGAAAGCTGGCCAATGTTTTTGGTGGTTGTGCAACAGATTGCACCACCCCACGTGCCACAAAACATCTGGTGAGCTGCAGTGCAGTTTGCAGCATCTATCCTGCAGACAGCCAGGTTAGAAACAGCGCAGGATGCTGGATGATGGCAATAGATGTCTCTTAGGAATAGCAAAGGAGGTGTAGGTACCATCTGCCTCTTCTTGTATTAAGTTCAACCCAGATACTATTAGTTCATCAGGATTATAAATCTTCGTTACACCCACCCAAAAAACCCAAGGAATTAAAAAAAAGGAGGGGAAAAATTCTCTCTTGTTCACTGAAGATGGAACAAGAGGAAGCCTGGTACAAACATTTCAGTCAAATAAACAGGGGAATTCATCAGATGCCAAGAAATGTATATTAAAGAGTCTCTCTTAGATTGTAACAGCCTGCCTAGTAGGCTTCAGCATAGTATTTTCTTACGACATACTAACAACAACAACCGATGAAATGTCACATTGTTCACAGTGAAAAGAAAACATTAGTTCTTTTTCCACTGTCTTTGCTTTGGTTTAATCTTGCCCCAGTGTATTTTAACTTAAGCCAATTTGGGATGTTAACAGCATACAAATATGCTTTTCCTGTGAGCTGCCAGGGAAAGGTTTTTTTGAGCTGGAATTGTGTTAAGCTGATTACTTCTTTTAATTTCTTCTTAATAATAGAGCATTTTTAATTTTTTGAATCCTAACAGCTGATATAGCTGTTTAGAGAATCAGGGAATGCAAATGAAGACAGAAATTCCTTCAGTATAAAATCAGAACTCTTCTATGCCATGGCAACAGCAATTTTTCATCAAATTATAGATTCCTTAGGGTTGCTTTCTCCATATTGACAAGATCATTTCATAGGGAGAGGAGGTAAGGGAAAAGAGAGATCTTGCTGAAGAAAGGGAACTGTTATGGCGAGCAATTAACAACATACATCCCAGCATGTCACAGTGGGTCTTCTCCTTCCATTCTGTGAAATAGACCGATTATAAAAATCCTCCCTATTTTAGTGCCTCAACCCTAACACAGTTTGTATCAGGCTGCATTCTCCCTCAGGCTGAACAATGCTGACACGGACTGGAACACTGGATGTGTTGGACCTGCCATCACCAACCTGAAACACCTCTGTCCTCACTATTGCCCAGACCTTCTAGTGAAGTGCCTGCCAGCGAAGATGGGGCTAACCCAGTTCCACTAAGAACTCTGCTGTCCCACAGATTCACATTTTGCCGTTTCCCCCAAATACTCCCAGTTTGCATATGCTGGATTTTTAACATCATCTCTTCCCCTGAAAATCCGTGCAAACCAGCTACACCGAAACCAGCCCAGAAGCCTGCAGAACCACCTCCAATTCCACGGGAAGTTTAGGTAAATGACCTATAACGGGTGGCAATAACGTAAAGACACATTTAAATGACTACACTGTCTGCATTTGCAGATCACACCACAGGTGATATTGACAGAGCTGCGACAAAATGTGACACTAAGTTTTTGCTATCGCTTTTTTTCCTTATTTTCAGTGCTTACAGGAACCACTGTGTCTCCCCTTCTGAATACAAGGGTTCTTAACGGAAAACTAAATGAGTCCTTGTTTTTCCTCTCTCCTTTTCTGAAATTCCACTCCTGACCATAAAGAGTTATCCTTTATACCAATTAGTTAGAGTGTGAAGGTGTTTCTCTTTTAATCACATATCCCAGAGTAAGAAACGATACTGAGCACTAAATCGCAGCTCAGTAGTAGGCTTTCTAAAGGAGCTGTGACTAAACTGAATGTTAGCCAGTGTAACCCTGGAGTGCTAAATGGTGGCCCATGATCTGAATTTTAGCGACAAATCTGGGTACAGCTACAACTTGCACTACCGAGAGGTTTTAACTGAAGTAAAAAGTTTACACAGGGTCTACTCTATTACTGCTGAAGCTTCTGTCTGCACTGAAGTCCTCTGTCTAGACCTCACTTCCAGAAGGCTTTCCTGTGGGGAAACGGAAAAAATTAACACACATAGTTTTCGCTACTTCCAAACTCCTGGGGTATCTTCCACCTTTGAAATCATAGCTTCTTCACGGCAGTTTAAACAGCTGCATAACATTTGTACAAAAAAACAGAGTGCTGAAAGAAAATCTACCTCAGAGTTCTTCTCATTCTGATTTCTCTTCAAATTTTAGAAACATTTAAATGGCACAAACCTAGAAGTGTTACAGAAAGTAGTCACGGAAAGGAGAGCATAACCACTTGTTTTTTGGTCTAGAAAATCAATCCTAT